TATATATATATATTCCTTTTTCGGGAATATGTATTTTAAAGTAATTTAGTCAAATCCAAACAAGCTTTACAGATCTTAGTGAACCATAAACAATTAATGCATATGCACCTGTGGAACAGTCTTTAAGACAACAGTTAACAGTAGGCAATTAAACAGTTACAGTCACAGTTACAGTAACTTAGGACAGTAAAGAGACATTTCTACTGACTCCGAAAATCACCAGAATAAGATGCCCAGGGTCCCTTCTCATCTGCATGAACATGCCATATTCTTGCTGCAGGGAAGCATACGGACTGCATATGTGGCCAGAGCAATAAACTGCAATGTCTGTAATGTAAGACGTCTAAGACAGTGCTACAGGGAGACAGGAAGAAGGACAGCTGATTGTCCTTGCTGTGACAAACCACGTGTTCACCCAGAAATGTCTGGGAACTTGCAATTTTCATATTGTAACCAACCTGCCTGTATCTGTTCTTCTTTCTCTCAGCCCATTCATTTGGCTCAGATCTCATTCCAGGTGACGGCATTTGGAATCCCATTTGTTCTAGACCTGGAGCTCAATCAGTATGTTCAAAATCCCACTTACTAAAAAAAAAGAAAGAAAAAAAAACACTGTATGATTTACTTTGAAACAGTTCTCAATCAGAAATAGCTAGAAAGTTTCACAAAGAAATGGCAAGTAACATTAATGGCAAGTGAATTAAACATTACATTTTAAAGAAGAAAGAATGAAATTGTATTTTAGTGTAAAACAATAACCTGTATTTATTTACGATTTCCAAAAATAATTTTTACAGGACACTAGCAGAAACACAAATATTCTCATTCCCTCTCTCTATATTATATTATTCCCTCTAATGACATTTATGTGTGTGTGTGTGCAGTGATCTCTTGTCGTCTAACTATGTTGAACGCCACTTCGATGAGGATGGGCGACCTTTTCAAAGTCTGGTAAGGAAAATAATATCCCTTTTTCTATTTGTATCCCTTTATATTGATTTTGTTACAGATTGATATTGGATCCCCTGTTGCAAATAATATCTTAGCTGTAGTAATATAACCATTATTATGTACCATAATTCCATGGTAATATGGCTTTATTAGTTTTCATTAGGGACAAATATCATAATGATTTTTGAATAATATAATAAGACATATAATTAGCAAATTCTTTAATAGCTGTAGTTCACTGCCTGTCTTTTAATGTAAACGTCTGAGGTATCATATGTGGGTCTGGGAATATACCCACTCCATTTCTTAGCACACGACTTTGATGCAGTGAGGCAAAGGAGTCTGGGAATGCATCCGCCCCTCCTGTTCAGTGTCAACCACGTTTGACCAATCCAACGTTGTTGCTATGACAACTGCTTATAGACAGTTCTAGTCCACTTTGTCCAACTGAGTCAGAGAGAGAGAGAGAGAGAGAGAGACACAGGAAGAATGAAGCATTGAGTGGAAAAGCTGAAGTCATTAAGCAACTACACTGCAGCAGAGATACAGAAACCAGGACTGCAGTGCAGAAAACTACAGCCAGACTGGTAGAATGAATCCCAGCAGCATTTGAAAATCTACCTCAGATACGCCAATCACACCACTGACATTAATGTCTCCTACGCGCTTAAGTGTGTGGGCGTCCGCTTACAGACTCCACGGCTCTTAAATTTGTTTTGTGCTGTGGACATGATGATTGATTCCTCAAATCTTGTGTCTTATCAAAAGGATGTAGCTGTTACTTTATTAAGTGATCAGATGCAACATTTTCACCAATAGAGTGAACCCAAAATAGAGCAATAGAAACCAAAATATCAGATTTGAGGGGGGACACGTTTCACACCAGACAGGAAGAAAGTCATGCTAAAAGCGTTTCATGGACATTGGAAAAGTGATCTGATGAATTTTAATGGGGAATGTTGCCGTGGTTACTGTCATATTTGAGGGCTGTTCACTGTGTAATCATTTTACTTCGATACAGTGTGTGATTGTGAATGTGTGTGAGATTGCAGGGAGGAGAGCACTGTTACTATCACGGTCACGTGAGAGGAGTTCAGAGGTCATGGGCAGCTCTCTCCACCTGTCATGGCCTACAGTAAGCAGCAACACTTTATCTGCTTCAACAGTGCAAAGAACAAACACACTCAATTATCACACAATATTTCAGCAATTGCACTTTGGTGACATCAATATCAAAAAGTCTGTTTGGACATTTTTGGAAAACTATAAATTTCGGGGGCGGGACTTGGGCGCTGAACATGCTGATTGGTTGAGTTCACACAGCATTGTATTTCAACCCCAATTCAACCACCATATATTCGCATAATTTTCAAAATATTACTGTTATTGTGTCATGAAATGTAGTTTTAAAAGTATTTCAGGCGAGAAAGGAGTTGTTTAAAACTCAAATCTGCAGTTTATTTATAAAGACAGTGCTTATTTGAAAATGTGCTTCGCCACTGAGCGGGCGCTCAGTGCTCATGTTTCCCGACGGGAGTAGCCTAACTTCGGCTAGTCCTTCTGACATTTGCCGCTGGCTCTGATGTCTTTGTAGTGGTTAAACATAAGATATAATTCGTTTTGGGTAAATCTAACAGGTAATCTTTGGTCTTTATTCTATTAATCTATTAATATGTTAAAATGAAAATGAAAAGAGGCAATACTGTTTAAGTAACCTTTGCTAAATTAGTTGCCGTAGCACAAAATATAAAATTATCAAAATTATTGCCCACTATTGGGGCAAGAAGCCCCCCAGCTGAACTTTTGATATCATACTTATTAATATTTATATATATTTAATTGTCTTTAATGTAAAATGCTAAATCAGCTCTTCGATGTAAAATTGTTTTGGAAATTTAGTTTAATAATTTAATTACTGATGACAGACAAAGCAAATTCCCAGTAAAATGGATTCATATGAAAGATACGTCCTATGGTTTATATATAGACATATAAATATATTTACATATTTAATTGAAATTGGAATTCGGTTGAATTATTTCACTCAATTAGCCTATAGGTTTTAAGGAAAGGCGAAGATTTAAATAAATAAAAAAAACTATAGTAACAACATGCCACTTGGGGCCTTCTGTGCCAATTCTACCAATTCAAAATAAAAACTATAATTTAATATAAAAATAAGTAATAAAAAAAAGTTGGTATTCAATATAATGAAATGTCATAGATCACTATTTTCCAGAGATACAAAATTAGATAAATTGACCTATTGACTAAATCTCACAAATGTATATATTCAGTTGAAATTACAAAAATAAAAAAGCAATCAAGGTCTTTTAAATAATGTTTACAGATACTTTTGATAATAATAATATATTAGTAACTGTTGAAATTAAAATTTACTGAGATTAAAAAATGAGTAGCACTTTATTTTAAGGTGCCCTTGTTACACGTTACATGTACTTACTATTATAAAAAACAATAAATTATGCATAATTACATGCAAGTAACCCTAAGACAAACCCTAATCCTAGCCCTAACCATCTAGTAAATACATGGTTACTTAATATTACTCAGTACTTAAAGGTATAATTACATTGTAACAAGGACACCTTAAAATGCTTTGTTAGTTCATGTTAATTAATACAGTTAAGTAACGTTAACAAATGGAACCTTATTGTAAAGTGGTACCTAATAAATCCATATCAAGTCTGCATTTTTAAGCTGTATTAGGGTTGTTGTCATTGGAGTGTCTCACATTTGTGATGTCGGTGTGTCTACAGAGGGATGTTCTCAGATGGCAACTTTTCATACGGCATTGAGCCCTTGCACAACAGCAGCGGTCAGGTCAGTATGCAGCTGAAATATTCATCTCTCTCAACTTTCTCTTGAGGAGAATTGTCACTCTATCTGCCTGTTGCAGTCTGGAAAAAATCACGAGTAGACACACAATCCCGAGACAGAAGAGACAGCGAAGCACTGAATATTAGCCACATGCACAGAAATGTGCATTACTGTGGTTGACTGACAGGTAAAACAGCAGACGTCTGTATGTGGGACGGAGGTGAAGAGCAGAAGGAGAGATGTCAAGTGACAAAATATGAGACAGAGCAGCTTATGCATGATATTAGAGCAGCACTGCATTATGATATCGAAGTCTGTCAAGAAATTTGATATAAAATTAAGATTGCCTTTTTTTAGAACAATAAGCAACATCTGACATTATTTTCAAGACAAGTGATTAATTTGTACCATTTTATTTAGATATTAAAAGTACAAAGAACATATTTCTCAGTTTATCATGACTAACAAGACTATTCTGGGTTAAATGTGGATTAAACTCTGTCAATAGCATCTGTGGATTGTGGTTAATTACCAGAAAACATCATTCCATTCCTCTCTCTCATTTACAGTGATGCACTTGTGTTGGAAGCCTACCAGGCACGGCAGGTGGAGGGTGTATGAGCAGAAATGTGACACTTGTATTTTGGTTAAAACACCCTCGTTCAATTTTCTGTTTGGCCTTTCAGTTGTGATGCTGTTTGAATGGTTGTTTTGAGGCAGGGCTACTTTTTCAAGATGGAGCAATAAAGAGCACTATAAAGATGTATTTTTTTAGGCCAACCTGGAAGTTAGCATCACCCTGGTTCCCTCAACAAAAACCCAATATGATTTTTACACTGGCCTTTGGATTATTGCAGAAAATAAACTCTGTGACCAAGTGTATGATTCTCTTCATCGTGATAATCTGAAAAACATTTACAATTTTTTACGAACATTTACTAAATGCAGGCTATAAACAAACTACACCATAGTCACATGATTTCAACATCACCATCACTAAGCTTCTGACAACTTTTTTCAGTCTTTAATAAAAAAAACAAATACAAATTGGCTAAATTTGAGTTAGAGTTTGCTTTTAAAAAATCACAAGGGGGTATTATGTAGTTTAAAATACTGATGTATTTTATGGTATTGATTAAATATCAAAATATCTCGAGCTTGACCTTATTTCAGACATTTAACCAAAAACCCATTGACTGTATGACGATGGAATGGGAAAATGAACTTGTTTTCCAGTTTTGACCTACAAACATTTCTGTGGGAGGAGTTTGTTCCAAGACAAACAGAGCCGCTGCAAAAGTAACCACATTTATTTTAAGCATAGTTGAACATGAATCAGTTTGATGTCTTCTATTTGTGTAAATTGAATTACCTTAAAATGACTGTGACACAACTTATGGTGCATTGACAGTAGCATGCCAAAGGTGTTCAGATGATAAAATGCAGAGGTATTTACTCTCCCTTCCATTGATTTAAGTATCTTTTTTTTCTGTTTTTTCCCTCATTTATCTGTATTTGTTATCTGTCTCTTCTTCACTCTCTCTCCAATCCTCTTTCGCTTCTCTTAAATGGGTCATTTTCATAAAGTATTCAAAGCCACATGTAAAGTGTCTCTCTCTGTCTGGGTAGATGGGAGATTAATAATGGATAGTTGTGTAATAGCCTTACATGGCAGAGCCCAGTACATCAGTGAGCATTTCATCTGCAAGAAAATGTTATCCAACAACAGGATACAATTCAGCCAGAGATAAGCAGATTTTCACAATTATCAACACAATTTTAATACAATTTTGGTGCCAAAATATATGTACCAAACAGTATGCCTTACAGCATTAATTTTCTGCATGATTTCCTCGGGACTAGTTAAGGGTGTGGCCTACTTTTCTCAAAAGGAAAAAAAAAATGTGTAAGGTGTTATTCTGAAGAGGCATGTCAAAATTATTGCTGATCAAACAACAGCTGGTGCTTTATATGTGGAAATATATTTTGCATGACCTCTATCTTCAGTACAGCCTGCTTTAATAATAATAAATCAAGTATTTCAAAATATGGGCTTAAAAGTCCTGATGTTCTTGAATAAACCCTTATTTAATGAAACTTGATACACATAGACACTCGGACATTCTGAGGATTCAAAAACACATTTCTTTAAAGGTGCATCACAACAACAACAAAAACACTAACTATTTGAACAAGGATGTTGAATTTTATTTATGAGTTGCTGATTATTATGAAATACTCCTCCTCTGAATCCCAAATCAAAAGGTCATGTTGTTTTACATTTCTGCAACAACAACAAAAACTGTTCACATGACAATTGACTTGTGTGACGAAAAGTTGTGAAAAGTTACCAATTTTTATTAATTTAATCAAATTATGTTTTTGTTTGTGACCCATAATGACTAACTTACTGTGTGTGAGCGCAATATCAAAACTTCACTTCCGCATGAAACATTTCACATTTCACCCATTTCCGATGCCAGGGTGTGCTATAACTTCAATAAACCTCTAAACCTTTGAACTGTGCATTTACATTTAGCAGCAGCAGCTTGTTTTATTTCGGTTTTATTTATTATTTTTACTTCACTAAACTGTTTGGACACCAGTAATGGTCGATGGCAGCTATTTGAAATCTTACTAGAATAACCCATCATGTGACTAATGTCAAGTTAAACATGCTGCATACAATATTAATGATGGTTTCATAGGTAATTGCGTGTAATACACTTTCTGATCTTTATGTCAGATTAACATGACTTCCATTATTCTGTTACACAGGATGCAAATACTCATGTTGTATACAGAATGGCAGACATCTGGTTGAGGCCACATTCCTCAGGTAAAATACAGATTCCTCCCATTCGACAAATATTGTAAAATGACCCTCATGTCATTTCAAAATGACTGTCTTTCAAGGAGTCACCAGTCACACATGAACTCTGTCATGACTCTCATGAATAGACTGATTGAACAAATTAGAGACCACTTTTTTTTTTTTTTGGTATGGAAAAGATCCACTTGGACAAATGTCTTGTGCTCTACAGGAAAAAAGAATGTTTTTATTTTTCAAGTGAACTCTTCCTTTAATACAATAAGACATATGCAGTCTCTGTCCTATATGATCTATACTCAGGGGGTTTTCTTCATCATTCAGACCATGTCTGCTTTTACATCCTTCCTGATCTCTCTCTTTCTCCGTCTGCTGCATATTGATTTTCTGCATGGATCATTTTTTAGTAATACACATCTTTATCGATCCACTGAAAGCTGACGAGTGGGAACTTTTTGTTCGGGATGGTTTTCATCTGTATATGGTTGCTTCTCTTCCAGGAAGCACCAGGAACAGCAGTGACTCTGACATTAACAGTGACTATCCCATTTCTATGGAAACGAATGAGCCGGAGCTCACAGATGGGCTGAGACGGGCAAAAAGACAGGTGAGAGTTTTTATTTTTGACATCAGTTGATCAGTTATTTTTTATTTTTTTCTTGAAGATTAGTCATGCACAACAGGCTGCCGAAAAGGGCACCTAGAAATTGGTTTCAACCAAAGGCGGACCATGGTAAAGTTTTTGTACCGGGCCCAAGAATTCCTAACTGAGCCCTGCATGCTTATATCATAGGTTAGTCTCACTTTTTATTAGGTGTCTTTCACTTTCACTACCGCTCAAAAGTTGAATAGGAAAACTAGTAATGTTGTGACATATTATTACAATTTAAAATCAGTGTATTCTATTTTAAAATGTAATTTATTCTTGTGTCAACAAAGCTGAATTTTCAGCAGCTATAACTCCAGTCTTCAGTGTCAAGTGATACTGAAATCATTCTAATATGCAGATTTGCTGCTCAAGAAATGTTTTTTTTTTTTTTATTATTTTGTGGAAACTGAATAAAAATATGAATTTCTTTTTGTGCTTACCCCAAACTTCTGAATGGTAGTGTATCACAAAAGCAAAAACAATTAAAGATCCTTTTCAAACTTTTCAAACGTTTTCAAAACTGGTTATAAAAAGATGTGTTTCTTGAGCACCAAGCTCAAGAATACAAAAGACTGTAGTAATGGCTGCTGAAAATTCAGCTTTGCCATCACAGGACTACATTGCTTTTTAAAATATATTCAAATAAATAACAGTTTGTTTAAATTTTAATAATATTTTATCATATTACTGTTTTTACTGTATTTTTGACAAGTGATGTAAGATTTCAAGATATCAAACACACACACAAAAAATCTTAATCATTTGAAACATTTGACTAGAAGTGATGACTATGAAGTCAGTGAAGATAGAAGAAGATAGTGATGACTAAAATGAAATAATCCAGTTCGTTCTTTTGAAATTATTCTTTTTGTTGAACCAATTCACCAAATCGGACTGAATTGACACCGTTTGCGTCTCGAGTCAGCACTGATCCACAAGTTACTCAATCAAAACATTTTCAGACATGTTTGACAATCACTTCAACTTTAAATGTGCCAGAATCCTAGAGTATATGATCCTATGATGCCAGTGGATTTTGCTAACTCATAACTACCAGTGCTCCACTTACTCCCAACAGTAAACTAACTGAACAAGGATTCCATAAAGGGGAAGGATATTTCTGATGTCTTTTGCTGAACAGCAGGAAGTATAACAAATAAATGTACTGGAAATATATTTATGGCTTGATTACATCAGTAATTGATCCGGCTCACATAACAGTGATGCGGTGGCATTAGTTGTTGACTCAACACAGTACATGCTATGACAGGCAGGTTTTCAAATGAAATTTTTCACTCAAAAGTCAATTTGGCTACTAAATTTTTAGGTGACCAGCCATTCAGAACTTCTACTAGCCGAAACAAAATATCAGGGGAAAAAAACAAGATTATCAAAAACACAGTTTAGATTTAAATATATTTATCATTAAATCAAATTCTGACTGTTGAATCTGATTGTTCTCATTGAATTGCTTTCAGTTTTAGTGATTTTTTTTAAATTGCAACTGAATCCTACCTGTCGCAAAATTCTCTGTGACTTCTATAAAGCATTTGTTTTGTGAATGTTGTTGTAAAAAATATAGCTCACTTCAAAATGAATGACAGCCCCTGATCTCTTGACATTTTATGGAATAGAGCTTCATTTGTGGAACAAAATTCTAAAGTTATTTTTTTACAACAAAGGTGGACCACTTAGGTTTGGAATGATGCAAGTGTGAGTAAACAATGACAGAGTTTTCATTTTGGAGGAATTACTCATCTAACTGGCTGCTTCTTTTTTCTGAAAGAAAATATACTGTATAATTCAAGTTGTAAATATTTAAAGAACACTTGCTTATTGTAGAATAATACATTTGAACTATTTGCAAATAATATATATACTGTATATATATATTAAATATGACACTATCCTAACCACATAACCATAAAACACACTTAAAGGGGTCATATGATGCTTTTTTAAAGATCATTATTTTGTGTATTTGGTGTAACAGAATATATTGACATGCTTTAATGTTCAAAAAACACATTATTTTTCAAATACTGTACATTATTGTAGGTCCTCTATGCCCCGCCTCTCTCAAACGCTTCGTTTTATACAAAGTCCCTCCTTCCGACAAGCGCAGTCTGCTCTGATTGGCCAGCTGACCCAGTGCATTGTGATTGGCCGAACACCGCAAGCACTCGTCGGAAATGTAACGCCCCTTACCACAATCGCGAGCTTCATCTTTCAAAATAAATGTAAAGACAGAGCCCGAAAGGGGAACAGAGTCTCGTGACAGACACAGTGATGAAGCTGGTATGTGTTTGCAGTACACAAGCCACAGTTAAGACAGCTGACTCCACTGTGAGTGACCCTGTCTCTCTCTCTCTCCCTCGCTCACACACGCGCGCGCACGTACGCACGCACGCACACACACACACACGATGCGCAAAACTCCGCATTTGAACAGCACAACTTTTACCATTTTCTAGTTCAATCCTAAGGGTGATAACTCTGCCACTTTAAGTTTTATCATTGAATCATTTTGTAAGTGAAATTACTGAAAGTCTACCAGGAAAACCAGGTAACATTCACAATATGCACACATTCAAATGTTATCTTTTACCATGCTGAAAACAACAGTTAATGTTTATTTGTCTTTGCCCATTACATTCACAATTAGCAATTACATTGTGTGAAGAATAATGTACTGTAGATGACATTCAAAATGGCAACATTTTATGTAGTACACAGTCAGCAAATAAATATTGCTGGATTCAGCTTTCATGCTCAGTTGCTTACATCTTATCTTACATTCTTTAACTATTAGAAGTGCCTCAGTACTATTCCTGCTCAGTTTCTGAGAACATTCAACCCTCACATTCTTTGATTTGATTGGTGATCTCAAACGTTTAGACATTGACGAGTGCTGTTATACTGCACTGAGTCTGAACACGCTAAATATATTAAAATTAATTTGAGGGAGACTGAAATTACTGAAGCTAGCCTAGTACCAAGTATGCCCACCCAAAATATAATGTCAGAATTATTGATGACAAAATTATATCCATAAACGGATTGGACAGAGCACTAGACAAGACAAAACAGAACTCAAACATGAATGAACTAGAGTTTACTCAGATAAATACAGGTGAGAAAGCCAGAAAATGCACAAAACCATCTGGCAATGAGAAAGATAGACATTTTTGTAAATACATCCAATTAATGGTTTGGCTCGAGACCCTGTTTTTCGTTTTTTTATATACAAGATACCCCTCGAACAGACTGTGGGCGGTCAGTGGGTGTGACGTCTGAGGCTGAGACTAGCTTGTGAAAGGGTTGTGAAATCACTCTATGTTAACACAAATCGTTCGCATCAGGAAAAGGCTAAAAAAAATGTGTCAAGCTGTGGAAAGGTGGGAGGGTAGAGGTTGGGAAAAGGGGAGGGAGTCACACAACAGCAAATAAAACACAGGCCTACAACTCATTCAATATGCAGCTGAATGAATGTCAAAATGTGGGTTGGAGGGGCACTTCACTTCTATTTTAGAAATATACCCCTATGACAACAACTCCCTTGCATGTGTCCTAGAAGAGAGGCAGCGAGGCCCAGTGGCCTACCCAACTAATATGGCCAAATTAAAGAGAATAATCTTAATAATGTATTTTTATTTCACAACCTCTTCTTCCTCTTTAATGTAAGGGAAACAGGTCAATTTAGCTCAAAGGGAATCATTTAAGATTTTAAAGGGAACTCCACCAATAATATGTAAGGGACAGAATCACTGTTTTACGGCTGATCACTGAGACGGCCAGCGATTCCGTGAACGAGCCGTCCAGAGCTGTCATATCATTGCTGTCATTGTTATCAATTTGAGGATCAAGGAGCACCCCTTAGTGAATGTCCCTAAAGCAAAGCTAAATAATATTTAATTATGTAGATAATTAAAGCAGCACTATGTAACTTTTTCTGTGTTCAAAATTTGCAAAATGTATATAATACATAGTGCTGCTTTAACTAACTAATTAGAAAATCCTTGGTCAGGTAAATGACAAGTATTTATTAACATTACACCAAAAGTTGTAGGTCATAATGTGGATGAATGATTGACATTTCAGCACTTCATGAACAGACAGTGACTTAAGTAGTACTTAAGAGCTTTCATGTGAAGTGCATATTTGAGAAACACGTAAAAAAGGAACAGACGTTTGTAACCTTGCGCATAAAAACCCTCTTAAGAGTACCCACTGGGAAATGCTACCAGGTCACTGCGTTACGCAATGGAGGGCTTTTCTTTTGCGTCCTTTCCCTCTCTGCACAACATCTGTTCTTCACTACAGAAGCCATTTACCGGAATTCATTTTACATTGGTCTAATTTTACCTTTTTAGGCTGATGATGCACGGGGCAACTTTTTGAGTAATGTTGCTGGGCATCTTTGGTTAATGTTGCCGTCAACGGGCAACCAGGTGAGACACAGGGCCCACGACTGATCTAAAGTATCCAGATTGAAATTTGTTACCCATTCTTGATGGAAAAGTGCCCAAGCAACATTGCTCAAAAAAAGTTGCCCCGCAAAATTGCTCAAAAAGTTGCCCCGTGTATCATCAGCCTCACTTCAAAATAAAAACAATATTGTAACTCGACAAATCATAAAACTTGAATGTGTCCACAAATGTTTCATTACAAAAGCGAATAATACCGATTTCCAGAGACCAATTAGTCCAATAACCTTTTGAGTAAATCTCAGACCTTGATATTCAAATAAAACAGAAAGTTAGAAAACATAGATATTCTTTAAATATCATACCCTACATTTTAACATTTTGGATTGCAACATTTAAGTGCATTAAAATGGAAATTATATGAAATAGAAATCAAACTTTTTAATTTTTTGATGAACAAAAGAATAATAAGAATAAAAGAATAATACATTTTGACATTTTTTTCAACATTCTCCATCAAAACATTTTTGTTCTTCACACTGGCTGTATCATGAACATTGATCATCATTACACAAACATGTCACAGGGACACCTGTGGGATTTTATCACAGAGGTAATTTATTTAATTTATTTATTTTTTCAAAAACAACTCCAAACATTCAATTCAACTCTGAAAGAGTTTTAATTTTATTGATTATTAGCTTCTCTAAGACTTGGGACTCTTAAGACCAAACAAGAATCAGAATAAGAATTAGCTTTATTCGCCAAGTGTGCGCAAACACACAAGGAATTTGTTGTGGTTTTTTAAGGAGCTCTTGGTACATACATGCATGCATACATACATACATACATATCTGACATGAGAACAGAAACATTTAAATAAGTAAGACTTAGCAATAAATAATAATGGTGTGTATGAATCTGGAACAGAAGATTTATGTACAGATTTGTGCATTATTTACTCTATATATACATCTGTATAAAAAAAAACAATCAGTGAGAGCAACGGTAAAGCTAAAGAAAGTCATCTCTAGCCAATTTTAAACATTCTAAGACATGAAAAAGCAACACAATGGTCAAAGAGATCCGTCTAGTGTACATTTACATAGGAATACAACTGAAAAACAGCACGGGCAGATTCAAAAACACTTTCAATGTGAACGGCAACCAGTATCATGATAGTTTTTTACTGACTGATGAACTGTGTCAAATATTTCACTCTGAGAGTCTGAACAAATCGATTCACCACTTTAAAAAACTCATTTTGCTAATTCACTGAAAAGAAAGTACCAACTCAAAAGAATGATTAATTTATGAATGAATGGCATTGTCAGTTTAGTCAACAGATGTACAGCATACACATAATATTTCTACTTAATATTTACAGGGAAAAAGTTTTCCAGATATAGCCGTAGAGCTGCAGGCACCACTGACATGTCTCATTCTATGGTATTGCTTCATCCCTTTAAATACATTGGTTTGCCTAAATCTGTGACTCCATGTTTCCCTCTACAGGTTCGGAGGGGTCCACGCACAGTTCAGAGTGAAACAAAGTATGTAGAGTTACTAGTGGTCAATGATTATGAACTGGTAAGATCTCCTATTTATTTACTTTTAAGTTATTATTTTCTGTATTTCTTTTTTCATGTAATATTTGTCTTGATGTTTCTCTTTGTAGTTTGTACAGATGCGAAGATCAGCCCCTCAGACGAGGAACTTTGCCAAAGCTGTAGTGAACATGGCTGATGCTGTATGTCCTGAAGTTTGACAGACATATACACAGTCTTTCTCGTGATGTTCTCTTTGAGTAAGTACTGTAGCAATTTTTATACTTAACAAAACATCCTATTAAATTCCAGATTTACAAGGAGCAGCTGAACACTAGAATAGTGCTTGTCGCCATGGAGACATGGTCAACTCAGAACATGGTTTCTGTTGGCGACGACCCTTTGGTGACCCTGCGTGACTTTATGAAATACAGGAAGGAGAATATCAAAGAGAAGAGTGATGCAGCTCACCTGCTCTCGTATGTTATGTTTCCTTCTACATACAGATGACACACTCAGGCTCGGTCACTGCATTAAACACATGCAATATAAATATATTGAATGTAAATATCCATTCAATGTAATTAACACTGTGTTCTAACCAGTCGCAACATGATAAGATTCCAGCAACAAACAATTTGTCTGTCCACATCAGAAGCGAAACAGATATGAGACACGACAAAATCAATCATAGCCAATCAGAGGAGCATGTGGACAGGCTCTCTCTGCAAGTGCACTTACACTCCAGCGAAATAGATAAGTACATAATGTAATTCATAAATATTAAACCATTTTAACATTATTAAAAATACATACTTGAGTGACTGATACAATCTTTGTCATAGAATAAACTTTGTTTACATTGAGTTCACATTAATGTTCTGAGGTAAATTATGCATTGTCGCTTTTAGTATAATATAAAAGTCATGTAAAGTGATATTCAAACTCACTTTACACACATTAGCACATAATCAGTGCCTGAGATTATCACTGTTGTAGTTTGTATGCTGTTCAAGCCGCCGCCTCAGATTAACATGGAAAAGATCAATTTTATTGTGTGTCGTAGTGTTGTGTCGCATCTGGTTAGGACACAGTGTTAAGCCCCATGAAACTTACTTTAGTTCATGTTTGTTAGCCTTGAGGTCATCTATATTCTAGTGTACCTCCAAAAGTTTTTAAAACCTTGACCAAAATTGACCAAAAATAAGGTTCTAACTATACAGTATTTAATGCATTAACTAACGTTGTTACAATATTTATTAATTTTTGTTAACGTTAGTTAATAAAGATATAACTATTCATTGTTAGTCCATGTAAGCTCATGTCTATTAAATAACATTAATATATACAACTTTTGATTTTAAAAATGTTGTTTACATGTTGTGCTGGATTTAACATTAACTAAGATTAATAAATGCTTTAGAAGTGTTTTTCATTGTTAGTTTATGTAAACTAATGTAGTTAACTAATGTTAACAAATGAAACCTTAAAATGCTCTTTTATATCCTTCCCCCTAAACACAGTCAGAAATGCATCAATAGAGGAAAAAAAAAAATTTTGTCAAAACATTTCATGGGGCCTTATGCAATGCATTTGCATCATGATAACCAACTCTGTAAGAAGCTTAAAACCTGAAAATGTTCTTGGTATTATTTGGCCCGTAGGGGACGCACATTTCAGAGCAGAAGCAGTGGCACTGCCTACATTGAGGGGATCTGCTCACCAACACGAGGAGGAGGAGTCAATGAGGTGAGAGCTAAATGGCTGAAGCTTAGAGCTGCCAAATAGCAAAAACCAACACTGAGCCATCACCATTGTGCCCTTAAGTCACTTTGTGAACGTGAATTTGACCCTATTTTCTTATTATAAATGACTTGTGTTCCAAAGAAAAAAAAGTTTGTCTTCATAATCTCAATCAAATAATTTCCAAATAAATATCAAGGTCTGTTAATTTTCAACAATCATGTGCCAACAGTATTTCAGAAGGGAGCAAGCTCTGCAACTGGCTGCAGATTCACTTTTAAATATGGCTTCATTCTAGAATAGAACAGACACTTTTCTTTTTATTTTAAATGTCAAATCATTGACTTTGTCTTATCCCAGCCCAATTTGCAGAGACAACTATAAGTAATCCGATAGTCAGTTGATTTGCATTCACTGTTCATTATTTACACATTGCAACCAGCCTGATAAAGCAAAATTGGTTCAACCAGTGGTGTCAGATGAGGTGGAACTGCAGTGCCCTCCAAATGCTCAACGTTTCAGAGTGGGATTTTGGACAATATCAGCATAAATCCTTATCAGTTCTTGGTTTAAATGTAAAATCATTTAATTTATCGTTGACCAACAATAAGGATTTTCTTTTTGATTACTTATTATAAATGGCAATATACATATGACAGTCAGACACACATCATGCACCTTTAGCAGCTTTGGTACCTAACTGATGGATTAAACTGTGTCCAAGTTTCTTTTTGAAGGTTATTGGGTCAGCACTGCTTTATAGCTTTACTGATTGACCAAGGTCAGTACACTACAGACCAATTAGAACACTGTTTAGAGATGTTTATAAATAACTTTTAGTACAATATTTTTTATATCTTGTGTTTTCCCCTTATCAGTTCAAAGTTATCACAAAATGATAAGGACTTGCTGATGTTGTTTCAACCCCTTTGCCTAGAATGTTTCCAAACTTTTGGAAGGCACAATATACACGTTTATTTTACAATTCCACTTGATGCTGCTAATAATCAACACGGGGGTTATTTCTAATAATAAGCATACTGCAAGACACTTTGCATTAAATCATCTGCTAAATGACTATTAACTTTCCATCTGTGTGTGCATGTCAGTATGGAAACGTGGGGCCCATGGCTATAACCTTGTGTCAGAGTTTAGGACAGAACCTTGGTATGATGTGGAATAAAGATCGTGCTACTGCAGGTAAACATCCTTCCAACTCTTGACGAAATATATCAAAATAAATGAGGACTGCTTACTGTTGTAATGAATGTGTGTGTTGTAGGAGACTGTAAGTGTCCAGATCCATGGTTAGGCTGCATCATGGAGGATACCGGGTGAGTCATGTTTTTTGGTCTTCGTATAGGTGCATTTTTATTTTAATACACATGCTAGATAAATGTACGATGCAAGTGCATAAGCTCAATCACAAATGTTTGGCAATTGCATTGCAAGCATGAGGTCCCATTGTACATGATGTGCTTGATGAGAGTTCTTGCAAAGGTTGGGCAAAATTCAGAATTGAGGAGCTGAATTTAACGGACCATACCCCACAGGATGACAGAAACAGGAATTTACTGAATTGCAATTTTAAGAAATTAAACAATGCATTCTGGAAGTGCTCTTCCACCCTGGTCCAATAACGTTGAATTATTAAATAAATAAAATTTATGTAATTCTCTCTGCCCCCAAGACCTATAAATCCTCAAACTCCCAAACAAGGCTGTCAAGCCAACAAAGATTAAGACACATATGTACATTTCTTTGAATTTAAATGCAATGCAATTCTATTTCAGTACATTCAAATTTAAATTGCAATTCTGCATTTTGTTTTCTACCGTAATTCAGATTCACTTTAAATTTAGGAATTGAATTAGAATTTTAACCATTCTCAATTAATTTCTGAATGGCACACAACCTTCTTGCATTACTGTAACCTCAGTGCTCAAGTGGGTCATAGACTTCAAATGTTTTTGCCATTAAACCGGATTGTTACTCTTCAGATTGCTAGCTATACACATTTGTGAGATCCAGTTGCTCTGCAAGATTCTATTTGAACTGTTGCTTCACCATGGAGAGTATTTTTCATTTCAAGTCATTTTGTCAGAATGAGGAGTCTCGAGATCCAAGTGCAAGTGCAATGAGGTTTATTGAGAAACAATAAACAGAGAGAACAGCTGGAAAATGACCGCAAACATGAGCCTCAGCGGATATCAGTCAGCATAATCTTGTAACAGTGAAGAGTCTCCAACCCAGTGCAGGTGATTCCAAGGACTGCGGAACAATCCAAAATAGGCTGGACGACATCTGGAACAAACGGAGAGCTGACAGAGAGACAGGACATAAGTTAACGAACCGACAACACACACTGAAATACCAGCCAATATATAGGCAGCGCGACAAGCTGCAGCTGGAGCGCTCCGATTAGACCGCCAGCTGAGGTTACTAGGTAACGGACATACACACACCAGACAGAGACGCAAGACGAACGCACAGACCCATGAACCGTGACAGTACCCCTTTCACCTAGGAGCGCCTAGCGATTGAATTCATCGATAAGAGAGTGGTCCATTATGTCCCTGGCAGGCACCCAACTCCTCTCCTCAGGACCGTAACCTTCCCAGTCCACCAAGTACTGAAATCCTCGTCCCCTCCGCCTTGAGTCCAGAATACGTTTTCCCGAATAAGCTGGTTCCCCATCTACGAGGCGCGGCGGGGGAGGAACCGGGACAGGCGGATTAATGGCTGAATGAAAAACGGGCTTTAATTTGGATACATGAAAGACCGGATGAATTCTCCTGTACGCCGGAGGAAGTTTGAGGCAGACTGCCACCGGACTAATAATTTTGGTGACAGTAAATGGGCCAATAAATTTGGGAGCAAGCTTATTACTGATGGATCGGAGAGGAATATTCTTAGATGAAAGCCACACTTTTTGACCCACGACATAGACGGGAGGCTTCAACCGGTGGCGATCGGCCTGAACCTTGGTGCGCGCCCCCACCCGGAGGAGGGTCAGTCTGGCCCTGCTCCAGGTGCGTCGGCACCTCTGGACAAATGCGTGGGCAGAGGGGGACCGCGACTTCGGACTCCATACTCGGAAAAAGTGGTGGCTGGTACCCTAAACTACACTCAAACGGAGATAGACCCGTAGCTGAGACTGGTAACGAGTTATGTGCGTACTCAACCCATGAGAGCTGTTGGCTCCAAGAGGAGGGGTTCTGAGAAGCCAAACATCACAACATTCGTTCTAAATCCTGGTTGGCCCTCTCCGTCTGACCATTACTCTGGGGATGAAACCCAGAAGAAAGACTAACAGTCGCCCCCAACAATTTACAAAACTCTCTCCAAAATCTGGAAACAAACTGAGGCCCCTGTCAGAGACCACGTCCATCGGGAGGCCATGTATGCGAAAAACGTGGTCGATGACAGCAACCGCTGTTTCTCTTGCAGACGGTAATTTAGGCAGAGGAATGAAATGAGTTGCCTTCGAGAACCGGTCCACCACGGTCAAAACCACCGTGTTTCCCTGGGAAGGGGGAAGACCCGAGACAAAATCTAATGAAATATGGGACCAGGGTCTCGAAGGAACTAACAGCGGCTGAAGGAGTCCAGTCGATTGGAAGAAAGCCAAAACAAAAAGGCGAATGTCGCAAGCCATAGCTGGCCACCAGAACTGTTGTTTAACCAGAAACGTGGTACGATTAACCCCAGGACGACAGGCTACCTTGGAACAATGACCCCATCGGATAACTTTGGACCTTAAACACTCTGGCACAAACAAACGACCTGGTGGGCATCCGGGCGGGGGCATTACCCCTTGAGAGGCCGTGCGGACCTTCGACTCGATCTCCCACGTGACCGCAGAAATAAAAACCTTCTGCGGCACAATGGGCTCGGAAAAAGACAGGCGCTCCGAATGATCAAAAATACGGGACAACGCGTCCGGTTTGATGTTCTTAGAACCTGGACGGTAAGAAATAGAAAAATCGAAAAAAAGAACCTACCGGGCTTGCCTAGAGTTTAATCTTTTGGCGGACTTGATGTATTCAAGATTCTTGTGGTCGGTCCAAACGACAAAGGGAACCCCCGAACCCTCCAACCAATGACGCCACTCTTCCAAGGCAAGCTTGACTGCCAACAACTCTCTGTTACCAATGTCATAATTACGCTCGGCGGGAGACAAACGGTGAGAAAAATACGTGCAAGGATGCACCTTGCCGTCCGCGAGGGAACGCTGGGATAGGACCGCGCCAACCCCCACCTCTGATGCGTCAACCTCCACCACAAACTGCCGGGACGGATCAGGGGCAACAAGGATGGGAGCTGAAACGAAGCAGCTTCTGAGTTTGGAAAATGCAGCATCCGCTGCACTGGACCACCTGAAAGCATTCTTGGTGGAGGTTAAGGCAGTTAAAGGGGTGGCTAGCTGGCTGAAATTGCGAATAAAACGCCGGTAAAAATTGGCAAAGCCCAGAAACCTCTGCAGGGCCTTGCGGGAATCTGGGGTTGGCCAATTCACCACAGCCTGAACCTTGTCGGAATCCATGCGCACCCCCTTGACCGAGACGATGTATCCCCAAAAAGGAACAGACTGTGCATGAAAACGCATTTCTCCGCTTTGACAAAAAACCCATTACTACCATTACCATTACAAGTACAGCAAAAGCAGTAATGTTGTGAAATATTTTTACTATTTAAAATAACTGCTTTCTATTTGAATATATTTTAAAATGATTGCTGTGATCAAAGCTGAATTTTCAGCATCATTACTCCAGTCTTCAGTGTCACATCCTTCAGAAATCATTCTAATATGCTGATTTGCTGCTCAAGAAACCTTTTTTAAATTATTATTATTCATGTTTTTTGAGCAGCAAATCAGAAAATCAGAATGATTTCTGAAGGATATTGTGACTGGAGTAATGATGCAAAAAATTTAGCTTTGAAATCACTATAAATTACATTTTAAAATATATTCAAATAGAAAGCAGTTATTTTAAATAGTAAAAATATTTCACAACATTACTGCTTTTGCTGTACTTTGGATCAAATAAATGCAGGCTTGGTGAACAGAAGAGACTTCTTTAAAAAACAAAAAAATCTTACTGTTTAAAAACTTTTGACTGGTAGTGTATAGTCAACTTAAATTCTCTCATTTCTAGCTTTTAATTGGCTTAGAAATCAGATAACTGCTGGACAATAACCAAAAATAATGATTTGTTTATATACTACAAACACTTTTTATCACATAGCTAATAAGGCAGAATAGTTTCAATACTGTAATAAATGCTATGTTAGTTAGCACTGCATTGTTCATATACTTTATTTATTACCTGGAGATGTTGACGGAATCAGAAAGCCCATATAAAAACATGTCCCATTGCGCCTCCGAATTCCAACCACACTCCGCAGCCAAAGTGCGAAACTCAATAGAATAGTCGGTTACAGTGCGTTCCCCTTGACGCAGCTCCGCGAGAAGTGTTCTGGCAGAGAGGCAGCGCGATCAAACACTTTCTTGAGTTCCTCAGAAAATGACTGGAATGAGCAACAGCAAGGAAGCCTCTGCTCCCACACGGTAGTTCCCCAGCTAGCCGCCCGTCCCGAGAGCAAAGTTATAACAAAAGCCACCTTAGATTCCTCAGTGGGAAACGATGAAGGTTGCAGAGAAATGTACAGGGAACATTTGGCCAAGAATGAGCGACATAACTGGGGTTCCCCGGAGTAAAAGGCCGGGGGTGGTAGACGAGGTTCGGCGGAGCGGACGATCGGATCCACAGGAACAAGTGGGTTGAGCGCGGGTGGTTGCTGAGCTGAGGCGGTCTCCACCTTCAATTGATGAAACTGAGTAGTTAGCTCAGAAACATGAGCAACCAGGGCCTGGACAGCACGACCCGTGGCCATCATCTGTTCTTCCTGGCGCTCCATGCGGGTGTTGCTGCTAGACAGAAAGTCTCTCAGTTCCGCCGTACTCGCTGGATCCATACTGGTCGGTTCGTTCTGTCAAAATGAGGAGTCTCGAGATCCAAGTGCGAGTGCAATGAGGTTTATTGAGAAACAATAAACAGAGAGAACAGCTGGAAAATGACCGCAAACATGAGCCTCAGCGGATATCAGTCAGCATAATCTTGTAACAGTGAAGAGTCTCCAACCCAGTGCAGGTGATTCCAAGGACTGCGGAACAATCCAAAATAGGCTGGACGAGATCTGGAACAAACGGAGAGCTGACAGAAAGACAGGACATAAGTTAACGAACCGACAACACACACTGAAACACCAGCCAATATATAGGCAGCGCGACAAGCTGCAGCTGGAGCGCTCTGATTAGACCGCCAGCTGAGGTTACTAGGTAACGGACATACACACACCAGACAGAGACGCAAGACGAACGCACAGACCCATGAACTGTGACACATTTCAAGTCTTAATGTCCACAAATTATTTTGTTTCTGTTGCACAACTGGTGGACCATATATTAGCAATACTGTAGTCATAGATTTCATCCCTAGGATGACCCATAATGTATACACTGAATGAAGTTGCTTTGGATAAAAAATGTAAATTACATTTTGCTGTTCCTTATCAATTAGTTTTATACACTTTCCATGTAAGGGTAACTGAACACTGTGAACTGTATTATGTCATCCTGACAGATACTATCTACCCAGAAAGTTTTCACGGTGCAGTATAGAGGAGTACATTCAATTCCTCCAGCAAGGAGGAGGGAGTTGCCTCTTCAATAAACCTAACAAGGTTTGTCTGGAACATCCACTAAAAATGGGAGAGAAAAATTATTAGCATATATTTGCGACAACATTACAAGCAAAAAAGCTGTTTTATTGACTAAATAGTAGGGTGATTTTATCAAACGCTACGGTGCATTTTCACAGACAATATTCTAGCAAATTGTGTAGTCTTTGACCTAATCTTTGTGGAAGGACAAGAAGACATTTTACAACAGCAGATGTTATTTTATTGAGCGTTAACAACGCAATATGCTGAGTCCTGGATATTCAGCCTGCCAGTCACAGTGATGGTGACATAAAAACTTTTGCAATCCAATGACAAAGGTACATTGAGCTTACAACACTTTCACAATTAAAATGAATAGCAAATATATAATTAGTGCCAATTATGCCCTGTACAAATCTGTCAGTATAAACTGTAAATTGCAGTTTACCTGTGCTGCTTATGCCACATTGAATGCTGGAAATTGGAACCCCACTCCTAAAGCACCACAGATATCACACTGCCCCTTCTTAAGGCTCAGGTAGGCTTTATTTTCCTTGATATTCTTGAGTGTTCTCTGTTAATTCCAATACCATATTCATTGTCCATGAGAGAGATGGACATGCTGCTGCAGACACTAATGTGTGAGTACCAGCACATAGGCACACAGTGCTTGTGCCTTCTGCACATCAGTACGCAATGTTCGTCTTGTGACAGTTGTGGTGGAGATCCAGTGACTTGAAGCATTGTAGTGTCTTCTATCTCCTTCTCCAGAGATCCTAATTCTGACACTAATGTAGCAAGCAATGAGTTCACAATCTTGGAAAATGAGAAGGCAGCTAAAAGTAGATTTTTACACTCTAAAAAATGCTGGGTTAAAAACAACCCAACTTGTGTTATTTGGCAACCCAGCACTGGGTAAATATTGGACAGAACACATGCTGGGTTATTTTGACCCAGCTGGTTGGGTTAAATGTTCTTACCCAACATGCTGGGTTGTTTTATTTAAGTCAACTCTTATTTAAAAATTATTATATTGCTGGCTTAAAATGGGCTGGAAATTAAAAATCACACAGAATTACTGGAGGCAACAGCAATAATCAAAAGATGAACATTTATTATTAAGAACACCCATGGACAAAATACAAGACAAATGTAATTTATTTGGAAGAATACAGCATAGTTTATAATATTACATACATTTAAACTCGTTTAACAAGCATTTTAGGAATAAAAATTTAACATTTAAAAGTAGCATTTTAATGTAAGTGTATTCAACCGTTCTCTGTAATCACTTTTCACTGAAATAGCGCTAATTCTCGTGCCGGTGTGTCACTGAAATCTGAGCCGGTGATGGACTGCTGTTCGCCGGGGAGCTGCAAACCTCAGACTGCCGCCTCGCGTTTCACTCGTAGCTGAAAGATGCCGTTACTGACTCCATAACCTGCCCATAAACAAACAGTACTGAGATTAGAGAACATATTTTAACAGCAAATTAAATTAAACTCAGTATTATAATGAATAAAATCAATTTATGTTATGCAAAGGCGTTTCCATCATGCGAAGCGACCGCTGCTGACGCAGCTGACTGACATCTCATCCTTATGTTGCGTTGCGTAAAATAATATAATTTACAGCACAGTAAAGACATTATAAATGTAATAAAATGTATACAATCCTTTATTTCTCTGAACAAGTGCACAATATCAGCGGCTCTGAGAACTGCTCTCTCCTGTAGTGGATTTAAAAAGCCTGCGATCTGACTGTAACTCTGCAGCTGGATTGTTTCGTTGGAGACAGGCTCAACCCAGCATTTGGGTAGAAAAAAATAACCCAGCATAAAAAAGAACCAGCAGCTTAGTTACAGAAAAACTACCCAGCACCTGGGTAAAACATATTAAAAACAACCCAATAAAATGACCCAAAAAGCTGAACCCAGCATTTGGGGTAAAAAAAAAAAAAACCCAGCACCTGGGTAAAAATATTAAAAACAACCCAATAAAATGACCCAAGAGGCCGAACCCAGCATTTGGGTAAAAAAAAAAAAAACAGAATTTTTTAGAGTGTATGGTTGTTAGATTGGCAAGGTACACTACACTCAGCATAACATAAAAATAATCAAATTCAACACCAATGAAAATTATAAAAAAAAAATTAAAAAAAACCTGTGCCACTTATGCTGCAGTGCATGCTGGCAAATGGAACATCTTCCACCACAGACATCACAATAAACATATGAAGTAGTTTTAATGTATTTAACTACTTTTACCATATAGCTTGAACTGTAATTACTTCCTCTGAAGGATAGATTTAGGTTACTTAGCTTGCTCAACACTGCATATTTAATATAAGTATGGGGCAATGACATATTTACTGTCGCTACAGTTGTTGGATCCTCCTGAATGTGGCAATGGCTTTGTGGAACAGGGAGAAGAATGTGACTGTGGCTCCCAAGTGGTGGGTGACAAGATAACATCACACACATTTCCTTATTTAATTTATTATATCCACACCCAGCCTTAAAGGGATAGTTCACTCAAAAATTAAAATTCTATCATCATTTACTCATCATTTACAAACATTTGGCATTAGCCATTGACTCCTATAGTATGGGAAAAAAAATACTATGCAAGTCAGTGGTTACCATCAACTGTTTGGTTACCAACATTGTTCAAAATATAATCTTTTGTGCTCAACAGAGAAAGAAACTTGTACAGGTTTTGAACAAGAGGAGGGTGAGTTTTCATTTTTGGGTGAACTGTCCATTTAAAGAGTGCTCATATAAGAGAACAGGAAGGTGATTTTTGCAATGCTGTGATAAGCTAATGGGATGTTTTTATTGGATGTGCACTCTTGTAGGATTGCTCTCATGCTGGGGGTGCATGCTGTAAAAAATGCACTTTGACCCATGATGCAATGTGTAGCAATGGACTCTGTTGTAGCCGTTGCAAGGTAAGTGGTGTTAGAATTGTTCACCTAAAAATTTTAATTATCATCATCTGCTTACCTTCATGTCATGACCAAGAGTTGTCAATCTCCAAATAGGACCAAAGGACCATCATAGTGGTGATTTTGGTCCTTTTTGGAGCTCGCTAGTCCTTGTTCATTAAGCATCATAGAAAATGTCCATAATACAATAGCTTTGTGTAAAATTTAAGTTATTATCTACTGAAAATTCCCCTCCACTGTTGCAGATCTTGTGCGTTTGCGTATATTGCAGCATGAAGACGGCATGTTTCTTGTATTACGCAGTGAATCGCAGCACATAAAGTTTGAATATGCAGATGTATGAATGAGATTTGAAGGCTGTGGCAGTTTTCTGTAAATAATGACTTAAAGGGGTAGTTTGTTAAAAAAATTAAATTCTGTTATAATTTTCTCATCCTCACATCCTTCCTAAACTTTTTGACTTTCTTTCTTCCGTGGAACACAAAGAAAATGCGAGTAATTACTGGTAATGAAAAAAACTTTTAAGATTTATAAAGAATGCACCATATAAGTAGACCATATGTTTTGTGCTATATTCCAAGTCTTCCAAGACACCTGGATTGGGTGAATGGATAAATAAATGTTAGATGGTAAAATATATTTAAAGGGGTCATATGACGTTGCTAAAAAAAACATTATGTTGTGTATTTGGTGTAATGCAATGTGTTTATGCGGTTTAAGGTTCAAAAAACACATTATTTTCCACATACTGTACATTATTGTTGCTCCTCTATGCCCCGCCTTTCTGAAACGTGTCGATTTTTACAAAGCTCATCGTTCTGAAAAGCGAGGTGTGCTCTGATTGGCCAGCTATCCAGTGCGTTGTGATTGGCTGAATACCTCAAGCGTGTGACTGAAATGATGACGTCTCCCGGAGTGATGAGACAAAACCAATAAAACCCATTATAAACAAGGCATTTGTTGCATCCAGTGGGGACATAATTACGGATTATAATAATTTACACTGTCTTTTTACGCGTTGCGTTGCGTATCGTATCGCGCCGCGTAAACATAAAACCATGTCTGCATTTGTGATCGGAGAAATTACAAACAACAAGCGCTACTCTACACTGCTCAAAATTCGCGTTTGAATCATCAGTGGCAAATTCTTTAAATATGAAAACGTACTTACAGGCTGTGAGTCAGCATTATTTGTCAGAACACCGGCAGGCTACTCCCAGAAAACAGTCCTCTATAAAATTCGCTGCACACATCTGAATATTTGGCTTGAACTGTTCTGGAACAGTGTTGTAAATACAACTTAAAGGTCACATATTTTACACATTTCTGGAGTTTTATTTTAAGTCTTGATTTCCTTAAGAATATATATTTGCGGTATAAGTACCAAAAACCATCTCAATATATTTTTACAGCTCCTCTCTCAGAAGCTCTGCAAAGAACAGGTAGATTTTGTCTAATTAATATTCATGAGCCTCTCTTCTGATTGGCCTGTTGTTTTCTGAGTGACGCACGGCCAGGCCAACCACAGGTAACTAGGGTTATGTATGCTGTAGCCTGCTGTGGATTGGTGATACTCACAAGTAAGGTCAATAGAAACACCGGTAATGATGGTCACTGCTGAGGGAAATGTTGTCCGGCCTTACATTTTTGAGCCGAACTCAGACCCTGAATCGGCGATGACAGGAGACAACCAACCACCTCCTCAAACGCTCTTACAACAGGATGTTTCATTTTTTACCTTAAACCGCATAAACACATTTCATTATATCACGTAAAATCGTCCCCCGCACTTTTTCGGGCAAGTGTGTTGGCATAGAGGTTTTCAAGAGCCAGTGTGAATAAATATAGATTTAAATTCAAAGAGTAGTCTACAGCAAAACAGTAACATTTGGAAATATTTTTTACTAGGCTATTTAAAATAACTTTTTTCTATTTGAATATATTTTAAAATGTAATTTATTGTGATTTCAAAGCTAAATTTTTAGCATCATTACTCCAGTCACACTATCCTTCAGAAATAATTCTGATAT